TGTTATTCTCAGGCCCCCTCCTTATTCCGTTTTCAGCTTTCACACACACAAGGTGATTGAAAACACCATGGTTTGGGCCTGGGGCACATTCATCCTCAAAATAAATGATGACGACTTTACCCTTTAATTCTTCAATGAGGTATCTTGCAGCAGATTTGCCCAATGAAATACATCATCGGATTTTTTCCAACAGTTTCACTGGTGTAGAATTACGTATCATACAACTCAAAGTTCAAGCGCATCAGGAAGAGTTATACAATCATCACCACAATCAGCTTTAGGACATTTTCTTCATTCTCCTCGGATGTCTTGACCGCTGTTCCTGTTCCTTTGATTCCGGATCCTTCAGGACTGCATCTCCAGGCTTGGCTTCTTCCATCAGTTCTTTGAGCTGAAGCAGTACTTCATGTGTCCCTGACTCTTGACCATCAACTCCAGGTCTTCACACACGTCCTCATCGTGCTTGCCTTCATCTTCTTGACCTCTCCTTCGAACTCCTCTGTCCCAGTCTCCTCTGTCGTTGTTTCTTCCATCCGTCTTAGCAGTGGCACTCAAGAACAAGCTTCAGTGTCTCCTGGCGTCTGTCTGTCGCTTCTTCCTTTCCTGGCTTTTTAATGACTTCTCGGTTTCTTCATGTATGGCGCCCTGAAGGTCATCCCTCAACTGGTCTGGCCTTTGGTCATTAGTGTCTCATGAGTCCACTCTGTTCTTGAGATGGTCCAGTGGGCAGCTACTCCAGGTTATACTTCAGGGTTCATAATCCTGTTTTGTTTCAACTTCAACTTGAACTTTCAAATGAGCAATGGATGGCTTGTTCCAGTCGGCCCCAGGCTTTGTTTGGGCTGACCCTGGGCTTCTCCACGGTCTCTTCCCATGTTGTCGTTATTGTTAGGTGCCTGTTCTGACTCACAGTGACCCTACGTAGAACAGACTGAAACACCGCCCAGTCCTGCCCCATCCTCACAAGTATTCTCATATTTAAGTCCATTATTACAGCCACTGTGTCAGTCCATCTTGTCCAGGGTCTTGCTGTTTTTCACTTCTCCTCTCCTGGACCAAGCATGATGTCCTTCTCCAGGGACTGGTCTCTCCTGACAACATGTCTAAAAAACTTCCCCAACATGCGGTCAATTTGCTTTCTGTGTCTCCCATCTGACAAGATCCACGAATACGGTCACCATTCACGTCACTGAGAACAATTTGAAGTGCAGACGTCATTAGTCTTGGAAAACTCTGTCATGTGAGTTGTTTCTATTTCCAAGGAAATATTTTCCATGCGTGGATCATTCTTCCTTGTTTCCAACGTCCATATTCCACTCATCAATAATTATCAATGCACCTTGATTAAATGTTTGAGCAACTTCAGACTGCATTCGTTGGTTAAAAAAAATTTTCAATTTCTTCATCTTTGGCATTAGCAGTGGATAAACTTGAACAATAGTCACAGCAACTGATCGACCTTATAGGTGAATGGGTATTATCCTAACAGGTAGCATTGTGCTTGAGGCTAGATCTTGAAATGTTCTTCCTGAGGATGAACATGATGTCATTACTCTTCAATTTGTCATTCCTGGCACAGTAAACCATACGATGCTCACATTCAAAATGACCAATACCAATCCACTTCAGCTCACAAATACCTAGGTTATGAGATCATGTGTGACCATTTCCAGTGTCTCTAGATTCATACTTCATATATTCTGCATTCTGCTTATTCAGCTTTTCTCACTGGGAGCCCAGCCACATCAGCAGATGAAGGTCCAGAAAGCTTGACTCCACCCACATCATTTGTTACAAAGGACTCTGCTTTGAGGAGGCACCACTCTAGTCACCCGAGCCGGCTACTAGCCTCCCTCTCCTCTTTCCACTCGTCATGGGAAATTCAGCCGGAGTGCAGACTGCCCCGCACACACACCTCACTGCCATGGGGTCATAGCAAGCCTAGAGCAGAACTCCCCCACAGTTTGCAACACTGCCCTCTTGGCCACCGCAGCCTGCCTCATCTCTCTCCCACGGAGCATCTGGTGAGTTTGAACCACCTACCTTTGGCTTAGTGGGCAATCAAGCATTTCACCACTGCCCCACCAGGCTGCCACCCCGAGGGCATAAAAGCAGTTCTCTCACTTGCTAAATGAAAAGTTTCCACCGATCAGAAAAGAATGTGTTCCCTGGGAGATCCGGCAATATATTGTGGGAGGAAGAAAGAGGGGCACAGCCCTCACCAACACCAGCCTGTGTGGTGGATAACTTGGGGACCCGGGTCAACTGTGCGAGGATCGTGAAACTCACTTGAGGGGTCCCTGTCAGGAAGTACCACGTCCAAGCTGCCCAGCACCAGCCCGGCACATGGAGTTAGCTGCCGTCCAGTAGACTCTGGCTCACAGTGGCCCCGTGTCCAAAACAACAAACCCGGGTCAAGCCATGCCTCGTCCTTGCTGCGGCCACGGACCCCCTCCGCCTTGTACAGGGGCGTCCTCTTTCTTGCTGCCCCTTGGATTTACCAAGCATGGTGTCCTTTTCTAGAGACAGTAGCTGCTCTGGAGGAGCAGTGGTTAAGGGTTCAGCTGCTAGCCAAAGGTCAGTGGCTGGAGTCTCCTCGCCCCGCCACAGCAGAAAGAAGTGGCCACATCTGCTCCCAGAAAGATGACCCCTGGGAAACGGCAGTTGGACTCTGTCCGGTAGGGTCGTTAAAGGGCCACTGAGTCAGACAGACTCACAATAACTGAAGTTCTATGCCTGCACAGTAAGAGGGTCAGCATAAAGGAAGACGGCGCTCCATGAGATGGGCACGCACCTGGCGACGTGGACCCCGACATCGCTACGACTGAGGAGGCTGGCTCAGGAGGCTGTCTGGTTCCACCGTCACTGGATCCCTACGAGTCACAGCTATTCTGAGCACATGCCAACAGTCCCTGGGAGGCAAAGTGCTGCACTACAGGTCGAAAGGTTGGTGGTTCCAGCCCACTCAGGTGCCCCTGAAGGCTTTCCCAAGCCGAGATCTGGAGATCGGCTCCGGAAAAGCACACCATGGGAAAGCCTGCGGAGCACAGTTCTGCTCTGCCACCCACCGGGTGGCCAGGAGCCAGGGTCCATCGGGCACCACCTGCTTTGACTGCACGAAGGTGAAGCCCAGAGCAGTGGTTCAGGCTTTGGGCTCTAAGCCTGGGTTCGAGTTCTGGGGCTCAAGGACCCGGGGCGAATTCCTCAACCCCGGGTATTTCAGATGCACTCTCTACAGAGGCAAGTAGCTCCAGTCCAGGCTGTTGGTGATAACAAAGCACATTCATTTTGTAAAGGTCTTAGCACAGCCCGCCACCCCCTCCACCCCCGCTTATAGCAAGAACAGAGTTAATGTGAACTAATATAAGTCTTTGCCTTTTCCTCCTCCTGATGTTAGACCTCTGAGTGAAGAGAGACGGGCAGCAGGGGCTGAGCCCAAAGGATCACAGGTGGACATCAGGGGCCACCCATTCTGAAGGTCCGCCAAAGACGCATGGGCAAGGCAAGGCCAGGCCAGCCCCGGCGACAGAGGTGGGGAGCTGGGAGACAGCCCCACAGGAGCCAGGGAGCACCACAACCCAAACCCAAAGCTGCCCTTTTAGATTTGGGAGACTAAATCTTACGAGAGTAGAATCTGGCCTCTTCTTCCTCCCATGAAGCAGCTGATGCGTTCGAACTACTGACCTTGTAGCTAGCGGCTCAATGTGTAAGCCATTACATCATGCGAGTTCCTGTGGGGGGGAGCATCATAGGGCAGGGAAGTGACAGGGTCCCTGGATGGCAGATGCCAGGGCAGGGATGAGGCTGGTGGGTCTGTTTCGGATGCTGTGGCTCTTCCCCCCACCCCCCACCCTGAGAACCTCTGAGAACTTCCAGGTCAGCCAAGCTGGCCAGTGAGAAAGAACACAGGCATTGAACGGATTTATTCGTGAAGACTCAGGGTCAGTCCGAGACAGTCTACTGGTTACAAGCTCCAGAAGCTCTTGTCGTAACCCCGTGAGGGCCGGGGCACCCCTAGGCAGGGGGATGGGGGCTGGCAACCACGCTAGGAACAAAAGAACAGAGGCAGGCAGCTCTGGGTACTGGGTACCAAGGGGCTGTCTTGTGGGCCAGCTTGCCCTTCCCCCAGGTCCCCCCCCCTTCTAGGGTTAAAGTGCAGCTGCAGGAGGGGGTGGGTGAACATGGGGCCCAGAGAGAGTCCCAAGTGGACACTGCCCACCCTCAAAGTCCTCTTTCCTCCTATTCCTTGAGGGCTTCTCTAGAGTCTGTCCACCCAGGATGGCAAGCAGATTCCCTCCTTGGCCTCTGGGGAGGGGGGTGGGCCCTCTCCCCAGCCCCACCTCATCTGACTCAGAAACAGCTCCCCAAAGAGTGGGGCTGGTGAAGGGAAGAGCTAAGCCCTAACAGTGAGTGGGGGGAGGACTGTTCTTTGGTGATGGTCTGGGGGCTCATCCCCATCCCCCAGCCCAGGAAGGCTTCTCCTCCTGCAACTCCCAATCCCTGCCTGCAGACAAATGGGAGGAGCCACGGAGGGCCCAGACGGTGTGGCTCCCAGCTGTGGTCCCGAATCAACAGGGACCTGCCCAGGTCTGACTCGCACGCACACCACCCCACTGAGGAAAGGCCACTCCGTGTCCCTGGGGTGGGGAGGGAGGAGCCCTTGGGGAACCTGGGTCACTGGGAGCTCCCTGTTGCGGCCAATGGTCTTCCTAGCCTGGACTCAGCCTCCCATCCCCTGCTGCTGCTGGCAGCGTGCCCACCCTCCGCTCCAGCCCCCAGCTCCCCCATCTGTGCCCCAGGAGCCCTTTCCCAGCCAGGGGCAGTGGGGTTTCGATCTAGGCTCCACATATTAGAGGTCTAACCCCACCTCAGCAGCTTTGTCCTCCACCACGCCATCCCAAGGGCACATCCTCTGGAGGCAGAAGAGGCTCCCCTCCCAAAATGAACGTGGAAGACCTCTGCTCCCCACCCTGCACCCCTGTGCCCCACCTCCCCCTCCCTCTGGAATATATTAAACTGTGCAGCTTGGCTCCCACCCCTCCCCTTCAGATCTCCATGGCAACTGGGCAGCTTTCCAAGTCCAAGTCTGAATCCAAGTCCATCTGGTGCCAGAGGAGGGGCTTCAGCCTCCCCTCTCCCCACTTTTCCCCAGAAAGGAGCCCCAACACTCCACAGGGGAACGAGAGGGGGGACACATGTGGCCTTAGTCCTCAGCTCCCTCTTCCTCAGTGTGGGGGACGCCCGGGGGATCGTCAGGCTCCGGGGTCTGCCCACCAGGATGGGGGTGAGATTGGGGGTGGGAGTGGGGGTGAACGGCGGGCTGGGCACCCGGCCCGTCCTCGCCCTGCACGTGGACGCTCAGGCCCTCATGGCTGGGCTCCTTGCCGCAGGCCTGGCAGCTGCAGTGCACGATCTTCTCCACCAGCTTGTCCACGCGGGGCACCTCCTCATGGCCGGGGCACTCCAGGGTCACCTGGGGGTGCGAGAGAGGAGGGAAGGTGTGTCCAAAGGCCCTGAGGGGCAGGAAGGCAGGCCCTAAGGGTAAGAGCACCTCGGGGGGTGGGGGGGGGCGGAGTCCTTCTGGTAGCTCTGTGGATGCAGTCAAAGGGTAGGAGAGACAGGGACTGGCCTCAGCTCCAGCTCGGCCACCTTCCTCCCCAACACGCTCCCCCAGCGCCAGAGGGAACTGGGTGGGGGGTGGGGATCCAATGATGGCCTGTGTCTGCTTAAAAGTCCCCCCAATGACTCCCGCTCTCCTTCTTAAGGAAAACCCAGGACCCGTGGCCATGCCGGGCTGACCTCTCCACTGTGCACCCGCCTGCCAAGCCTGGCTTCAAGACTTTCACACGCTGCTCCCTCTGCCAGGAGCCCTGGACGGGTAGAGGCTACTGGCTCAGGTTCAACGCGAAGGCTGCGCTGTCGGAAATCACCAGCCTCTCCGAGGGACAAAGGCGAGGCTTTCGGTTCCCGTAAAGAGTGTCAGTCTCAGAAACCCCTGGGGCAGTTCTGTCCTGTCCTCGGGGTCCACTGTTGGTCACCATCGACTCGAGGGCACTGAGTTGGGTTTCGGTTCCCTCTGCCTAGAAGATTCTCGCCTAAGCGTCCCGCTGTCCCTGCCTTCTGCTTTGCCTGGTACATTCTCCTTCACCTCTGGATCGGAGCTCAATCATTACTTCCTCAAGAGCCCATCACCGACCTCACCCCTCCGCCCCAGCTGACTCCTGCCCGTGTGAGCTCCCTGGCCCCTTGCTCACCCCACTTCCCGTTCTTCTTCCCCTCTGAAACCCCTCCTTCCCGTTCTTGCCCACACACACATCCGTGGGCACTGAGGCTGGGCTGGCTCTGAGCACACCAGGCAGGCATGGCTCCCCAGGGAGACAGGAGCCTCGCTGGGGAAGCAGATGCGTCGAGGACCACACCAGAGTGCGGTCTGAAACAAGTGCTCAGGGCAGAAGCACGCCACACTCAGGGTCCAGGGCAAGGGGCTTTGATCCCGTCTTGGGGAGCTGGAAAGGGGGCCGGAGAGGAGGACCCTTCAGCCAAGAGGTGAGAACGAACAGTGGCTGACTCGTGGGGAGGAGGAGAGAGCTATCCTAGCAGAGCGAAGAAGCCGTGCAAAGGCCCTGTGGTGGGAGTCAGCCAAGCGTAGAGTTGGTGGCAAGGCAGATCCGGTGAGAAGGGCGGGCGGCAAGATGAAGCTGCAGAGACCACGCTGAGCCTGGTGAGACAGGGCAAGGATTTGGGTCTGTCCCCGAACTGAGAGCGGCCCCTGAGCGGAAGGGTTTCGGCAGCCGGAGGCAGAGGAGTCGGAGTGGAGCCTCAGAAAGATCCCTCCTGTACACTCTGGTATTGGACTTGTTAGCCACATGGGAGCCGGACATCTGGGGCCCCAGCATAAGCCCAGCACCTGTGACCCGGGCAGCCAGGGGGGGGGCGGGGGCGGTACTCACAATCTCCCACATGGACTGGGACGGCATGCAGGAGTCGCAGTGCACCAGGGACTCCGTGGACTGTGGGAAGGTGTTGGGCACGCTGTAGCTGAAGCACTGGCCGAGGCATGCCCTGGGGGAGGAGAGGTCACCAGGCCTGTGTCACCATGCCGGGGGGAGGGCCCAGGTCCTCCTCCTCCCTCCTGGACCGGAGTCCTCAGGCCCCGCCCCAGCACCCACCTGTTCTGGATGGACTTGGCCTCGCAGCCGCTGTGGCCCACAATCTGGGTGATGTTCTTGGCCTCGCACCAGGCGCTCTTGTCTGGGAACAGCGCCAGCTTGTTGATGGGCGGCGGGGCGGTCAGCAGCATGGCGGGGAGGACAGCCCCCACCAGGACCCGAAGCATCGTGCCCGCGGCCTCCAGAGCCCTAGAACTGAGCACAGGTGGCAGGTAGAGCCCAAAATGCCCAGCGGGAGGCTGGGTGGTGGGGCGAGAGGGTTACGGGCTTGAGCCCTGACACCTGACTGCCTGGATTCCCAGCTGAATCTCCTTGGTACCACAGAGCAGCAAGCCAGGACAGATGTGTCCTCCCTGAACCTGCAGAACGGAGCTGTTCGCCCAGATCACAAAAGAGACCAGTCGTCCCCAGGTTGGAGAGAGACTGGCAGGGCCCGTGAGACCCTTACCCTGAAGGTCTGCGGCTGAGCTCACCTCTGCGCTCGCAAACTCAACCATCTCAGCCCAAAAGGGCATCACCGACCCAAGGACAGCCTTCAGAGGGCCAGGGATGGAGACAGGAAGCACGGGGAGGGAAGGGGAGGAATGAGGGGCACGGAGGGGCTGCAACGAAGGAGTTGAGCCCGCAGGTGTATGAACCGTTGTCGAATTGTGATCCGCTCTGTTAACCCTCGCCGACGTCGCAGGGCAATGTTTTGACAAGTATCGTGAAGACTAAATGAGGCCCTGGCACACCCCACTGTTAGCTCACTGTCGCGTTCATGACTCAGGTGCCCCTGACCCAGGCCCTGGCCTTCTCCATGGCCTCACCCACACGCAGACGCTGGGCACTGAAAAAGACCGAGCGACGCTGCCCTGGCACTGTGGTGCTGGTGACGAATACAGACTGCACCGTGAACAAACCCAGAACCGGCACATCTGCCTTAGAAGAAATAACAAGCAGATGCTCCACAGAAGCGCAGACCCACGACTCCGGCTGACTTCCTGTAGTGTGTCGTCAGGAAGGAGCAATGGCCAGAAAAGGACGTCGTGGCTACTGAAGTACAAGACCCCACTGCCTCAGAGTCCGACCCACTGGGACCCCGTGTGGGGTTTCTGAGGCTGCAAATCCTGACGGGAGGGGCTGAAGACAGGGAGGGCTCCTGAGGAGCAAACCGGGAATGTGGGTGGAGGGAGAGCATGAGAGCTGATTGTGATGATGCATATACAACTCTTTTTAAAAGCAAGTGAACCATAACAGTGTACAATGTATGAACGTTGTATCAAGAAAACTATTTATATATAAAAAAAGAAACCAGACCGGACCCATGGTTTGCGTGGGTGAAGGAAGATGAGTTTTTGCTTCCGGGGCACTGAGTTTATGATGATGGTGGTAGAGTCATCAGGAAAAAGATGTCAACAATGGCTGAACAACATAAAAAGTATGATCAATGGCACTGAATTACACATGTAGAAGTTGTTGAATCGGAGAGTGTTTTGTTGTGTATATTTTTGCCACAATTTTTTAAATGATGACACAAACGATGAGTACAAGAAGAAAATGTTCTGAAATTGATTGCGGTAATGGCTGAACACCTATCGCCTCATCTTTCTGCCGCAGACCAGCAGGTGGGCTTGAACCACCAACCTTGCAGTTAGCAGTCCACCGCTGACCTGTGCTCCCTCAGATAAAGCAGAGGGTCATCAAAACCAAGGAAGATGCTCCATGGGAGAGACTGGTACCACAGCCAACGCTGCAGACTCAAACAGCACCGGCCATGCAAAGGCACAATGCCAAGCGCATTCCATCCGGTCTCCAGAAGGGTGTCTGAGCTGCAGGCCCGCAGACAGCCACTACCAACACACCGCCTCACAGAACGTTGAACAAGTTACTTTGTATCTTTGCTCTGCCTTTTCTTCTGTTAAAAGACAAAGAGGGGACCGTGGCTTCTAGCTAAGGGCTGCTGTGCGGATTAAATGACACCAGGTTTTCAAGCACGTGGTGCGTGATAAACACCAAAACCCCTCTCCCTCCCGTGTGTGGATCCTCTGGGGAAAGTACACACACACCCACACACCTATCTAAGCAATGTCTGCCCTCGGGGGCTGACTCCAGCACGCCTAGGGCATGGATTGCCAGTGTCAGCATCCCACCATAGGGGAGATGACCCTCCACTTTGGCCTTGCAGTAAATACTGGTGCATTCTTGCCTGGCCGGACCACAGGTTAAAAAAAACAAAAATAAACCCAGAGCATTTTTATTCCCCTCAGATAACCCACTAGAACCGTGGACCCACTTGGGCCCGGCACATCTACATTATTCCCCACACCAATCCCATCCTAACCAGAAATGGGCAGACGCCTATGAGAGCCCAGCACTGACTAACCATCAATCTCCTGCTTCAGAAAGATGGAGCAAGACACTGGGACAATACCAGAATCTGCCAGAAGATGGCACTGCAGGGCAGCGTGGAAGTCTAAGAGCCCGCTGTAGAGGAACTATGGGCGGGCTTCAAGCTACAGGTTTATCTCATGCCTTCTCGGCAGAGACTGGAAAATGAGGGCAATGCCAGCAAGAGACCCCTTCCCAACCCCCTGTGGACAGGACACGGGGAGAGGCAGGGGAGTGGAAGCCAGGAGCCCACCACCCACTGACTCCTGCCACTGGTATGTTGTGACCCGGACACTCAAGTCTTCCCGCCTACATAACAAGGAGGCTGTAATAGACCAGTGGTTCCCAAGCCAGGTTCTAGACCCTCAGAATTCCCTGAGGACTTAGGGAGTAAAGGTTCCAAAATTGGGAGGGATTCTGCATTTCTAATCAGCTTCCCTGGGGTCCACTGCTCAGCCATCGCAGCTTGGGCAGGAGTGGGCTGAAGGGCCTGGCATGGCCGGACCATCCACAGCTTCTGTCCACCAGGGAGGCTCCCTCTGCTTCCACCCTTTCTTCTGCAGGAGGTCTCCTGAAGATGAGGTGTCTGTCACCTCTCACTGCACCCCAGTGCTGAGATGACCCCTGCTCGGCAGGGAGGAGGTGAGCCCCTGGAGGCCCTCAGGTCATTCTCCGCCTCAAACAAGCTCGAGATACGGCCCAGGCGCACCCACACACTTCCGGCCTGCTCACAAGATGGACGGCAAAGCCAGTGCGTCCACGGAACCAGACTGGGAGGGGTTTGTGCTCAACACCCCCCACCCGGCACTTATGGTTGTAGGCGCCCCTGTGGTGTAGTGGTTACAAGTGGGGCCTCATGGTCAGTAGTTCTAAGCCACCCGCAGCCCCGAGGGAGAAAGACTGAGCTTTTGACTCCCATTAACAGTGAAAGTCTCGGGAATCCACAGGGCAAGGGGGTGTCACTATGAGTCAGCATAGACTCAATGGCAGTGAGTTTGGTTTGACTCTGTTGTTGATGTACATAGATACATGTGGATGCTTGCATGTAACACAACATCTGCCAACTTAACCTCTTTCACGGGGACAAGTGAGTGATGTCGATGACAGGCACCGCGGTGTGCAGTAGCCACCGCTTTAGAATCCCTCTGTTCTTAACGGGCACCCTAACTGGTGCTCAGCACTCTTGGCACCCAGAAAGCTTTCTCACCGTGCTGCCAGGTGCTCTTCAGCATCTGCCAGGATCGGCCCCCTCTAGACCTCAGAGAGTTCTGGAGCCCGGGGAGCTGGACCTGAGGTCAGCACCCTTCCTTGGGAAGAAAAGGTCGGGCTGGGCCAGGACAGCAAGCAGGGCGAGGGAAGTGACATCCAGGTTTGCGGAGCAGTCGAAGGAGCCCTCCTCCGGCCTGCAGTGGGGCTGGAATCAGGAATTGGAAGGGCAGGTTCGAAGGGAGGCTGTGGGCTGGGACTCAGTTGAAGTTGAATTGAGATCGGGATTGAGGTTGACAACAAGGTTCACCAGGAAATGGGATAATAGGTTTTTGTGGGTGTTTTTTATTTTTTTAAAAAAGAATAACTGGTATGAGGAGCAGGTTTGGAAACTCACGGGAGCAATTTATAGAGTCCCCATGAGTCAGAATCAACTCGGAGGCAGTAGGAGTTTGAGGCGATTGTGGCCGGAATTGAGAAATGTGGTAAACGGAGGCAGAAGGCTACCTCTTCAGGCTCCCTCTGTCCCTAGGGCCCGCGGTGCCACAGACAGGACACTGTGACCTAACCCAGCAGGCCAGGGTCTCAGAAAGGGGGCTGGGACCACCACTTGGTTTTCCCAGCTCCCTAGGCTATAGTACATAGCCAGGCTCCCACCAGAAGGCCCTGGGGTCCCTGGATCTGGATCCACAGCCTCCCACCTAGGAGCTGTGTCACTTCTGCAAAGCTGACTTCTCAGAACCCAATCTCCTGAGTTCTACAACTTCACTGCACCTGAAGAGTAAAGCCCCCCAGCAGCCAACCAAGGACAGATCTCTGCAGGAGCCTCCTGGTCCAGGGAGCTGCGGCTCCTGGGGCAGACTGGGAGGCAGCACAGCCAAGGCTGGGCGCTGTGGCAGGCAGCACGCGAATGCCAGGCTCTGTCTCTGTTCAGGACAGACCCCCCCCCCTGCCCCCTCCCACCAGGTGGGCTCTGCGCTGGCAAGGCTGACTGTGGCTGCCCTTTCCTTTCTTCTCAAGCGACAGTTGGACCCGCTCTCCTGACGATGACGGTTGGGCCTCACCATCCTTCCCTCCCCCGCTGAAGGTCCCACAGCGAGTCATGGGACTCTCTGGATGCCAGCTCAGGAGGGGGAGCCCAGAGCCCTGAGCCAGCCCTGGCTTGGCAGAGGGGCGTCCACAGCCTCACAGCAAGTCCAGGCAAGCAAAGCCTTTCCCCTAAACCATGCAGTTCCCTGCGTTTGGCCCATTTCCGGAGCACCTTCCAGGAGGGCGAGGAGGGGAGTGGTGGTGCAGGAGCTCAGAGAGTAGGGGGGTGCCATCTGTTCTTCAGCAGCTGCCCTGAAATCTTCGGAGATGGCAGTGGGGAGAGGAGGGTCTCAGGAGAGGGGAGCAAAGATTCTTAATCCTGGATTTAATTTTAAAGAAAACAAACACCCAGTGCCATCAAGCCAATTCTGACCCACGGCGCCCCCACTACAGAGCAGAGCTGGGCCCATCGGGCTTCCCGGCCATGATGTCTGGGAAGGGCTCACCCAGCCTTTCATCCGTGGCACCCACCGTAGCGGGGGTTCTAACCAGCACCTTTTGATCAGCAGGCGGCACACACTGAACTCCCCACTCACCGCCTTCAGCTGCATTCTGATCCATAGAGGGGACCTGCCCTCGCGGGGTTTTTATGAGATTCTAACTCTTTAGAGAAGTCCAAAGCCTCATCTTTGTCCAGAGGAACTGCTGATGGTTTTGAAGTGCTGACCTCAAGGTGAGCAGTTCTGGATAACAACGGGGCCAGTAGAGTCAGAATCCCAACCAGTCTGGGTTTCTGGGATACCATGTGGGGAGGGGAGAACAAGGGAGGGAGCATCTGGCTGAGGTCACTGCCAAGTCCAGGGCTGTCCAGTCGATGACGCCAACTCAGGGCCACCCCACGAGGCAGAATGGAACCGCCCGTAGGATTTCTGAAGCTGGACTGCCGCTTCTTTCTCCCCAGCAGCAGGTTCAAACTACCGATGGTTTGTGTAGCAGCCAAGGGCTTCACTACAGCACTTCCAGGGCTCCTTGAGCAAAGGCCGGAGGCCAATGATGGAGACGGGCTCGCTCACCTGGCTTGCCTCACAGCAAGGAGGCCACTGCGGCCTGGGCCTACCGGGGTTCCAAATGCTTCTGCGCGCATCCATCAATCCTCCCAGCCACCCCAGACACGAGGGTGCCCCCAACTTTACAGATGAAGAAACTCAGACACACGGAGGGGGAAAGATTTTGCTTGGGGTTACATACATTCAAAAACGCACTGTCAGACAGTGCAGGCTGACTCACAGCGAGAGACGCCCTGTGGGTTTCTGAGACTATAACTGTTTACGGGTGTAGAAAGCCCAGTCTTTCTCCCACGGAGCTGCTGGTGGTTTCGAACTGCCGACCATGCGGATCTCGGCCGGACGCATAAGCGCCGTGCTCACCAGGGTGACACAAAGGAAAGAGGAAAGCTGAGAACTGACCGAGGCCGAAGCAGGTTAAGCACCTTGCTGCCTCGACAGATGGAGAGGGACACAGAAGAGGAAGAAGCAAGGAGCAGGGATAGCCACGGTCCCTCGGCACTCCCTCAGGAAGGAGTCTGGAATGGGGAGGAGGCACCATGAGCTGTTTCCTGCCCCTGCCCAAGTGGACTGTCCCCCTTGTTCCTCTGAGGTTCCCCAGCTGCCTGGTGGGAAGCTTGGGAACCAGAAGTTCAGATCTCCGCTCCCGACCCCGCAGCAGACAAGCATGCGGTGGTGCACAGATCAGTGGGTGACTCAATATTATCCTTCCTTGCAGGGATGTCCCGAGGTTCCAGCACGAGGCTGGCTCCTCAGCCCATGCGCACACCCCCCCCTATCGCAGCCCTCCAGGCTCCCAGCTGTCTGTCAGC